GTGTGTGGTTTGGCCCCCAGCCAAGGGCAGACCCATCCCAGCAGGTTAATGGGTGGTGCTGTTCCCTCCAAGGTGTGTGCGGTGCTGAGCCGAGAGCAGGGAGTGCATCAAAGCCCCAGCACCTCTTTCATGTTCTTGCAATCTTGGATGCACGCTCTGCGTGCGTGCGCAGACGTACGTGTGTGTGCAGGTATGTAAAGCCAAGTGAGATGAACCCTGTGGACATATTACCCCCTTCCTTGGGGCCAGGCTGTAATACCCATACACAGAGCGAAGGGGTGGTCACCTCTGCTGGTGACATCTCTGCTGTCCCCTCCCCTCCAGGGCATGCTGGATGTGCACCTTCTCACAAGGCAGATTTTTTTTTTTTTAATTTATTTACAGACTCTGTTGCTGGATTTATGAAGATTTTTATTTAAAGCATCATATTTGCTCTTCAAATTGTTAGAAATCAATACGAGAAGAGTTTAGATGTTTTGCTCAGCCAACATCCTCCAGCTCTGCCACTGTTTGTGTACCGCGTTAATTGCAATGACTGAGCACTGCAGCTGGGAGTGACCAGAGGCAGGAGCCTGGGCTTGGTTTAGTGAACTTTAGTACTGGAGTATGAATTCAGTAGGAGCTGAACTGGGTGACCCCCCTCGGTGGAGCTGCTCCAGCAGGGATCTGGATGAACTCCAAAGATGAACAGGAGCTTCAGCCTCCAGCGAGGAGTCCCTGTCCTCCCAGCAAGGCTGTGGGTGACGGCACCGGTAGGTTTGTGCTGTGGGCGCGTCAGCTGGAGGCATCATCAGAGGCCACAAAGCAGCGTCCGCACCCCCTGGTACTGCCCATCGCTGCTAGCACAGGCTGGGCCCACAATGAGACCCAGTGGCACGTGAGACCCTGAGCCACCAAGCCTGGCACGAGCTGACCCACGTCTGGGCTTTGCTCTCCACTCCTTACGCGCGGTCAGTCACTTGGCTGGTGGCCGCGTTGCTGCCCAGCCCTTTCCAGGCGCGGAAGCTGAAGAAGGTGCTTGCCCCGTAGGTGATCATCGTGATGCAGGCGAAGAACTGGAAGAGGAGCAGACCCCGCCCGTGAGCACAGTGACCACCCCTGCCCCGTGGCCCTTGCCTGCCCGCTGGTACTTACGGATGCCGCGGCTCTCCGGTTGTAGTCCCACTGCCGCCAGGACGTGGGCTGGACAGCGGCCGCACACGTCACAAAGGCGGTGACGTACAGGATGGTTGCCACAGCATTGAAGATCATCAGCTGGGGAATCACAGAACGGTTTGGGTCGGAAGGGACCTTAAAGCCCATCCAGTGCCACCCCCTGCCATGGGCAGGGAACCCTCCCACTCGCCCC